TGAAGAAGTTGGAATGAACTTTCCTCACTAGTTATACCCCGGCCTGTTCATAATTCCATTTATATGCCCATTTTGCAGCTCTGGCTCGCTCTTTTCACGGCACCTTTTAGGCAAGTTGCTTGCTATCTTCTTTTTCAGCAAAATGGAACACTTAAGCCGGCCGAGAACTTCACTGTCGATGACGACTGCGCGAAACTACGCAAAGCGATGAAAGGCCTGGGTACGGATGAGCAGGCAATCATCGAGGTGATGGCCTTCCGATCCAACAAGCAACGTCTTGAAATTGTTCTCAAATTCAAGACTCTTTATGGCAAAGATCTGGCAAAAGAATTCGCCTCCGAGTTGAGCGGCAACTTCTTGCGCGTGTGTCAAGCCTTATGCCTTGCGCCGGAGGACTACGATGCAAGCGAGATACGTGCTGCCATCAAGGGTTTAGGTACGGACGAGGACAGCTTAATTGAAATCATCTGTGGCAGGACGAATATGCAAATAAAAGCATTTAAGGAGGCCTACAAGAAAGGTGAGCATTTTGGCTAAAATATATCCCAATTTTTTTTGACTCAATCACATATGAAATGACACAGTGAAATTTATGCATCGGAATTAGTGACCTTCGGAGGACACAAAAGAAATATTTTTAGCATTTTGGCTTAAGGTGAAAGTCTACCATTTGTTCTCTTTAATACACATTCTGCTGAATGTAAGTGTCAGCTTTCATCATCAACCAAATATCCCTGTACTGTTTGCAGCAAGCATGCAGCTTGTTTTTACATGTTGTTTTATGTTTCATTTCGTTTTTAAATGTGGGTAGATATGATTTCCAAGTTTGTCACACATGAAACCGAAAAGCTTAACAGAAGCAGGAGTTGCGCAGCCTAAGTCACCAGCACCACGCTGTGACCTCGATCCATCCATTCTGATCCATTGTGTATCATGTGACATGTCTTCACAGCAAAACCATCACGTACAAAAGGTCACAGATATACTAAATCAGGGAAAGTTTTGCATTACTGCTATGCTTTATGGATTTCGTAAAGGTGAACGAATGCTAAAATGGGTTAAACTTCGAAGCATATTGGCTTGGCAATATTGAAATCATACAAAATCAAAGAATAAACGAATCTTTTGAGAGTCTTGTTTATCATTGTAAAGCTTTAGTAGCAATTAAGTTGATGTGCTAATTCCATTGTCAACACGGAACACTGATTGTAATAGTTATAATAAAATATAAACAAGCATCTCAAGTCTAAGCCGGTTATTCTCCTCTTATTGTACGACATTTATTCTCAGAAGGCCTCTTGTTAGGGAATTCCACTAAGCCATGTTAGTGGCTTTGAGATCATGCGAGCAGTAGCAGAAGAAACAATGTTTAAGTAACCCCTTAATGAAGCAGCGCTGACCTGACTCCAGTGTGAATGAAGGCATCTTATGGAGGGATTGTTGGGACACTCACATAAGACGTGCTAAGATTACATATTTCATATTACATACATCATAAGTGTATGCACGTATTTTTCTGGAGAAATAGTCTACAATTTGAGAAGGCCTTTTAGTCAGTATTTTTTTATGAAATATAATAATATTAGAATTCAACTAACGGTAATTATAATGATAATCTCGAAATTCTTCTAACATACCAAAAATTATAGAAAGACTTGGCGGACTCCCTGCAATATATATATTTATTTATTTACCGGCGTACATCTGTGTATGTGTACACTTGTAGTTGAGGCTATGAGCAACAAAATCAGAAACATCTGTCGAAAAGGTAACAAGGCTTAATGACCTTTTATTCATGATAGGTAGATTTGAGTATATGAGTAGGTTTTTAATAAAGGCTCTAGTCACACTAGGTTGGATATGATATGATATGATACTATTGAATTTCCACTAGCCTTGCTTCCCATCCAGCGAAAACGACAGTTCCAGTCTCGCCTAGTTCTCACCAGCGCCCCCAAAGAGAATAGAGCCCGTGTAGTGACTAGAATTGTTAATCTTATTATAGTGAAAGCCTCGAAACTTACCATGAGCATAACTTAATTGAATTGTAATGGAAAATAGAAGCTTACACAATCCCACTATAAGATTTGATATGGGAAAGACCTAATTTGCCCTAAGATTAAGATCTTTCCTGTGACTAACTGACACTCGTGGCAGTGTGGCGTAAAGATTAAAGTGACAAGACCATACGCTGAACTACTTGGACACGAGTCAAATTAGGGGTGTCGAAACTGCAGACCACTTCTCTCAAGACACGAATACCTTTTGAGAAGCAAGCCTATGTGAAATCCAATGGAAACACGGGTCTACTCATATGATTTTGGTAAAATTAAACTACCAGTACTTTATCACCCTAAGCGAAATAGAGTGAAGATCTATCAAATATATGATCGACTTATATACGAAAATGAGGAAGATGTGCCTTTGGTGTGGTTGCAGTCTTCTTTCGCTATATCGAATCAGCCTTTCTGACTAATTTTAGTTTGATGCTGCGAATGACAAGAGTCAATAAAGATGCTGGCGAAACGACTGGGAATGTAACAAGTCCGCGATCAGACGATGGGAGTTATTATAAATACCATAGCAGAGGACTTTGGACAAAGTACTTCCAACTAGGTCACCCTGCCAGCATGATCAAGTTGTGAAAACGAGGGAAAGTAGGAACGTTTTCTACTTTAACGAAATGATTTACTAATGCCGACCGCTAATTGGTGTCCTTCCATATATTCTGGATTCATACCCATTACTTTCGGAGACCTGCGAGAATTGGAAATATGTATTCTGATCTTGTTGATTGGTGGATGATGATGAGTTGAACGGTTAATAAGCTGAGACATTTTGTGTCAAAATCGTCACAGTTATTAGCATCGATATGAGAGAACACTTGAGCCCACGATCTTTAATATTGGTATCTCAAAAATGGGCCTAAATCTGGCAATTAATAAGTATAGGTGCCTAGATATACCTTAAGCACAACTGCAGAAGTAAAAAGAAAAAAAGGAAGGAAGAAGATATATACAAGTTAAATTTTTAAAGTAGGCTATTTAATGTGTATTCCCCACGCAAACCGGTATGAAAATCGCCATATTGCAACGGGCCATATATTTCCATACTTGTTGATATAATTGTTGGGGGGAATTTCATTTTGTATAAAAGTGCATGAAGAAGAGATTGGTAGGTCGATCTCACGAGAAGACGGACGAATCCAGTTGTACTGCAGTCGTTTGGCTTTTATACGACGCTCAGGTTGACGCAGTCCATGAGACCTCCATCGTTTCAGTGAAAACGGGCTGAGCTTTGTCCATCATTCGATGGACATCATCAGAGCTGTGTCTCACGTTAACACTATGGCCATTTATATAGCATTTATATAGATTCAATTAAACGAAATAAAATTAAAAAAACTAAATATATATAGAGTGGTTTGGCTAATTATCTTTCATACTGGTCCTGCTACTTTTGTTTGTGTGTGTGTGTGTATGTGTTAGCGTCTATATGCAATACCGGTCCAAAATCAGAGCTACCAAAAGGCTAGTGTCAGGCGCTGATCATCAAGGCGTAATGACCCAAAAGAAAGCCCTGACCGAGATTGCATAAGTCCGTAAGCAAGAATCATCTTAGAAAGAGGTCCTATGGAAAACTGTGGGAGAGAAATTAATGTTATAAGGGGGACTTTCAGTTCGCATGAAAGTGAATAAAGAGCTTCGTTGGTCTATCACACCAGATGAGGTTAGATGAATCTCGTTGTACTGCAGCCGTTTTGCTTTCATACGATATTCATTTTTACGCAGTCCACAAGACTTTTTCTATTGTTTCGAGTGAAAACGTGCTGAGCTTTCGTGCATCAAATGATAGACATTCTTTTAAGAGTCACACTAAGCTAAAAACACTATCCGGCTCTATCTTACTTCTTATATGGACTTAATCGAGCCAAAAAATAAAAAACCTAAATAGATCGAAATAGACTGGTTTGGTTAATTTTCTTTCATATTGGTTCTGTTATTTTTTGCTCGATTGTATGAGTATGTGTGCGTGTGCTTGTTAGTGTCTATATGTAATACGGTTCCTAAATCAGACTTGTCAAAGGTTAAATCTCATATTCTGACCCACAAGACCGAATGACCCAAGAGAAATCATTGATCGAGACTGCCTAGGTACGTAAATAAGTATGGTTGAGATAATGAAATATGATCTTGTAAGCGTGATAATCAAGTTACGAAACCACTTGTCCTAACCTTTCAGTCA